TTGGCAACTGACATTATCTTCAAGCTAGTTAATATGCCTAATATTTTTTAATTATAATTTGAGATGGTTGTAGGAAAATGATAAGATTAGCTGACTGATTGCTAGACTTTACTTGCTTTAAGCATTTTTAAAGTGCATTTCTCAATATATTAGCAGTTAGTTTGCTTATTTTGCTAAATATACTTGAAACAAGCAACATTTTCTGCCAACATCAGATAAATTCACTTAATAAAATCATTTAAATCAGGTAAAAATCTGGAAATTGGATAAACAATCATAATACTCCTACAACCATCTCAAAATAATAAATATTAGATATTAAAACTAGATGTAAGATGTTTCACTAGCAAGCTTGCTTTTCTGGTGTTATTGATACTTGAGGCCAGTCTTGGCTCGGTCTCAGCATCATTTGGACTTGGTCTTGTCTCTAAGTAAGATGGACTCCAAAATTGTTCTCAGCCATCTGAGCTAACGGCAAACTTTTTTTTACCATCATTACTGAATATAAACAACCTTCAAACAGCACAAAACAGTCTGTACATGTTTAAACAAGATCTGTTCACTATCAGCAGCTGAGGATCTAATTGACCTCTCCATGATGGCTGGACTGGTCAGTATTTGTTGATGTTCACTGGGTGCAAAATTCAAAATAACAATAAAATATGTTGTTTATTGTTAGTTATAATGCAACTAAGACTAGAATATTATATTAATTACTAATGTTTTTAGGCTACATGTAATTTACCATTATATAAAATCTATATCATGTCTACTGAATGATAACGAATGTACAATGAACTACAAACAAATTTCAGTTTCCTCCTTTCGTTTTATTATTTTTATATTCAGAAAAAATCTTAATCTGGTCTCGGTCTAGACACTCCTGGTCTCGTTCTTCACTCAGATTCACCATCAGTGGTCTTGACTCCAACACTAAATTGTTCTCTGAATGTCAAAAGACTAGAGGTCTAGAGGAAACTGGGGTGGGTCTTAGAGGGGGCGTACTCTTGTTAGCAGTGGTTTTTGCTACAATTCAGCAGTAAAAATTAAATAAGTTGTCCCCAGACATGTAAATCTTTTTTGTAAAAAACAAAATCACATCTGTGGTTCTCAAAATGGTGCTTGGGTACATTTTTGATCTTTCTCTGTGTGCTGGGAGTTAGAATCGAAAATCTAAGAGGCCCTGAGGACCACTTCACTGTCCTAGTGTATCAGTACCAGTTTTGACCTCTCTTGGACATTTCTTGTTCTCATAAAACAAGAAATGTGAACATTTGGGTTTGGTCTTCTCACAGGACAAGAACATTTTTGTTAACCTTACAGCATCACTGGAGCAAAAGGCGAGAGACAACATCCGCCCACATGTACACCATTATATCATAGCCTTCACATCTTTCTTGGCTGCAAACCCAACTCGGTTAATGGGTGTTTTCTCTTCAAAGAGTTCCTCTAAAAATGGTAATGATGGACTTCAGATAAGCTAATAGGAGCAGAAAGTCAGTGCCACTTTTGCGTGATTTCCCTCCTGGAGCTTTGGCTTGAGTAATGTATTTCGGCGGAGCGGGACTGGACAGGCCGATGTGTTCGGAGTTAATAGGAGTGGGCTGGAGAGGGAGCGCAGGACTGGCTAAGCCCTCTGCTTTGTTCCCAGATTGCGGGGTTAACGATTTTCCGTCCTGGGTGGCGGGGGAGGGAGCGGCGCAGGCTGAATTAGGATTCAGCTCCATCCTCGGAGCCGCGGCGCTGTCTGCTGCCTTCCCAGCAGCCCTGGCGCGAGGTGACAGGGAGATGGATGATATCTGCAGCCTGGCCGCTCCGCTCGGGGAGGAGGACGGAGCGCACACACAGCAGTCAGTCACGTATACATCCTGATGTGTGTGTGTGTGTGTGTGTGTGTGTGTGTGTGTGTGTACATTGTGGCACATGGTATACATAAATACCCACATATATACATAAACATAGAAATACATATCATCACTGTCAGAACAAAACCTGGTACCTCCAAAATAGCAACTTTACAGGAGAAAGAAAAAACTTTTTATAATGAAAGTGAATGCAAAGTGATCTTTGGTCATTTTCGCTCATTTCTCTAAGTGCAGCATGAATTTTTCACATAATGCCAAGGTCAGCTAGCTTTTCAAATTATGTAAAAAAAGTGAAAAGAATGGACATATAGGGTTTGTTCCCACAGCGATGATATGCAAATTCTCAAAAATGGTATAAAGAGTGTTTTTTCTAGGGCAAAGAGTAACAGTAGCAACACTGTATGCTAACACTAAAAATGCATACAAGAACATTTATGTGAAAGAGAAACTGTATTTTAATGAAGTATAATTTATATCATGATTACGGTTATATAAAATATAAAACTGTGCCATTAGTCTGTGCTTTATAAGCTATAACCCCCTCATATCAGAGCAATACATGAAGACATCACACAAAAAGAGACAACAGACAAAAAATGTGTATTCAGAATATTTCGATTTATTGATCATTTTGCAGTTTTACAAGTTCAGTTGCAAAAGGACAAATACATGCAGAGAAAAACGTAGTTTTAAAGAGATCTTCCAAAATTTCTCCATAATTTAATCACTGTAAACCAAGTCAAAGTGTAGTCTGATGCAAAATGGTTCAATGCAGACAAACTTTACAGTGGTGGTGATAGTAACTAGGGGTTGCAATGTCTGCAACACAAATATACACACTTTATTTACTAAAACTACTACTGAGCCTCCTGAGACGATGAAGGTTAATGGTGGTAAAATAACAGTAAATCTGAAAAATTTCTAATTAGTTTTCTTTGGGGATGATTTTGCCTTACAATGCCGTGTATGTACCTAACTTTTAAAAAATGTTTTAGGCCAAAGCCCAAAGCCTTCACAAAACTACTGCAAAACGATGTCATCACCAATTAATGTAATAAGGTAGCTTTTGAAGTGGGAATGCAAAAACGTCCTCTCTTAGAGGGGCAAAAGTGCAATGCTTAACATAGGCCAAGGCCTGGAGGCTTAAAAATACAAATAAAGAAGGTGGGAAGCTTTCAGTCAAGGTTTTAGAAATGTATTTTAAAACATTACACTATATTTTGTTACTAAAATACTTTAAAATACAATTTTAAAAGTAAAGTGTTTGTTATAACACATTGCTGCTGTCAGAAGAAAACCTTGTCTCTCCGTTTTCGTTGTTTTTCAGTTTTTGACAATTTGAAAATACCTGTTTCCCTTTACATTGTGTGTAAATTTCAAGAAGAATGGACCAAAAGAAACGGCCCAAATGACTTGGAAAAAGTCTGGTTCCATTGACTTACATTAAAAGTAAAGTAGGTCCTTCTCCTGTAAAGTTATTTTGGAGATACAAGGTTTTCTTCCGAAAACATCGATATATAGTATTAAAACATGTTTGTTCTCTCATTAGGTGAGGGGGTGGGGTTGGGGAAACTTTCAAGCAGGCCAAATTAAAAGTCTAACTTTGGGCAGTCCTCTTTTAGAGGCATTAAACTCTTCAGACGTCTGGTAACTATTGCCGACACTGTAAACAATGCAGAGCATATCACATCAAACCACTCTGAATAACTTTATTTACATCTAAACTATTTCATTAGCAATAAGTTTGAAAATTAATTTCCTTTAAGTTAGCTGGGGATTTGTAAGCTTGTCTAGGAGAAAGTGTGTACGTGCACGCTGGCGTGTCTAGTCGTTGTCTGAAAGAGAGCGAGCTGAGGTTTTCAACTCAGTGCCCTCTGTCTTTTTCTTGGCATGAATACATGGATGTACGTACATGTGCCTGACTGTGTTGCCCTCTGTATATGCAGCACTTACCAACTGGTGTCTGCTGCAGTCCACACACACACTCCAACAGCTCCTGCTGTGCAGCACACACACATACACACACAGCGCTGCAGGTAAAGCACTGAAGGAGAGAAGAGCAGAGCTACATGACTTATGCACGGCTGCAGCACAACTGTGGAAAATTCTTTAAGCCTGGCCGAATGACCTCCGGGCAAAGTCATACAGTTTAACCAGTCAACTTTAGGAGGTTGCACTGTTTGACACCAATACAGTACCAGAGGTTTGGATAACCTCTGGATAACCTTCAGTACTGTGTAAAAGTCAGAGACCACTCTTTATTTCTTTCTTTGCCGTTTGAAACAGCTACACGTTTTTCACTTTTCAGCAGGAGATTAGATGTAAGATAATCAGCTTGCATAAGGAAGGTGAAAGTCAGAGGAAAAACGGTGAAAAAACAGGAGTATCCAAAACTGGTGTTCAAAAAATGAAAAAAAGGTAGAGAAAAAATTGGGACTCCTAACAATCACCTAAAAGACCTAGTAGCCACCAAAACTGTATCAGATAAACAGCACCTAAAGCTTTCATCTTTGAGATAGAGTAGAATATCAAGCTGCATCAGATCTGGAAAAAATCCACAAGTGTTTCTGTCCATTCTTCCACTGTGAGAAGACCAAAGAAGAAAATCTGCAGAACAAACAAAGAAGGTGGCAGTGTGCTCAGAACAATAAACCACCCCAGAGTCCAGACCTTAACATCACTGGATGTGTGCAGAAAATTAAATCAACTTCTAAGACTGAACTTTGGAGATGTAGAAAAATAATTCTGAAAATCTCTGAGCAAAGTGTGGACACAGTACATACTGACAAAACCGGATATTCCATTTAGTCGTCAAGGTTTCTGTGCAATGTTTTGTTAAATATATCGTCGCTGTCCAAAGAAAACCATGTATCTCCATTTTTGTTGAGTTTTAGTTTTCTACATCTTTTCAACACACCAGCTCTCCTTTATGTTGTGTAAAAATTTCATGTTGCATGGACCAATAGAAATGCTCTAAAACCACTTGGAAAAAAAATCTCTTTACATTAACTTGCATTAAAAGGTAAGAGTGTTTTTGCCTTCTCCTGTAAAGTTACAGTTTTGGGGATATTTGTTTTTCTTTGGACAGCGATGATGCTTTTTCTTTGGACATGCTTTCTGCTGTTTTCTTGGTGTTGAAAAATGAGTAACTTGTACGTACCGAGTGCTCTGACTAGAAATTAAATCAATGAAAAGTGATCTCTGACTTTCGCAGAGTACTTTGACTGAACATGCAAACGAAATTTCTTTCTAAGACGAACAGAAACAGTAAAGTTAATGCCTATATATGACTTCCGAAACAAAAAAAAAAAAATTATTTGGCTTTTTAAATGCCCACAAGTGGTTTCCAGCAACATCAAGGCCTCAAGGTCTTCTTCAGTATTGTTGTAAAAGTATTTCAAATGGCTCCTCCTGAAGCTGCTTGAGAGAACAGCAAGAGTGCATTAAGTTGCATCAAGGCAAAAAGGGGCTACTTTCTAAAAGAATGTAAAACAGAATGTGCTTTGGATTTATCACGACATACCTTGACACACATTATTTCACAGTTTTTATGTGTTCACTGTTTTTCTACAATGTGGCAAAAATAAGGAAAAGCTTTCTATACGTAGGAGTGTCCAAACTGTTGACAGGTTGCAGAAAATAGAAAGTAAATGGTCAGCTTGTATGTTTACAGAGAGATTTACAGTGAAAGACAGAACAAAAGGTTTTACCTGCAGACTGCACAAGCCAGTTCCTTGACTTTCTACTCCTAAAAGAAAGAAAAAAAGATGAATAGGGACATCAGTCAATGAGGCGCATTTAAACAGAAATTAAGGGATTATTATCCTAATTTGTGTAATAGTATGTATTAAGGGCTAAATTCTTTTCGCTTTAGGCAAATATTCTCTTTTTTCCCATGTGGTTGTGAGAGAGTTCACTTGAGGATGCAGTAAAGCAGATGTACAAGTTTCTGCTGCCAACGCTCGCTGTGAGCTTTAGTACAAAGGAAGACCGCTAGCTGGGTGAGTGTGTGTGTGAGTGTGTGTGTGAGTGTGTGTGTGTGTCACACTCTCTTTCCCTTCACAGAACAACTTCACTAAAAGTTCCCACACCCGGCTCCCTTCAGCTGCCAATCACGCATACAAACACGGGTCACACATGATTTATACAAGACCAAACACAGCTTCGCTGAGGGGAGGGGTCAGCACACTGAGTGTCTTTGTGCACATCTAGATCAGTAAAGTTGGGGCTAGTTAGGCCGGCGGGCCGCGGTGAAGGGGCACACCTGCAGAGCAGCACTGCCCGCTGGCCAACAGGTTAAAAGATGCAGCCCGAAGGCCAACAAAGCCGGGCCAGCTGAGGGTCAGGCCGGAGCGGTGGCCGCTGCTGGAAAAGCCCGAGCCGTTAAGACAGAGCCTAATTATCCTCCATCGCGAAAAAGCCAGTCGCGGTTCAATAACTCCAGCAAGCCGGCAGCCAGATACTGCGTTTCCCTGGCAACGCCTCCAAAGCAGCTCTGCAGAGAGATCACAGGGAGGCGGGCGGGGACTCTGGAAAACCGGAGAGAAAGAGAGAGAGAGAGAGAGAGAGAGAGAGAGAGAGAGAGAGAGAGAGAGAGAGAAAGAGAGAGTGGGGTGAAGGACAGATAGATAGGAAAAGACAGAAGAGAGGGTAGGAGAGAGTAGAGACAAGACAGAGACAGAAACAGAGAGATGGAGCGAGAGAGAGAGAGAAGAAAGTCAGAGACAGAAGAAAGAGAGAAAGAGAGAGAGAGAGAGAGAGACAGAGAGAGAGAGAAAGATAGAAAGGAGAGAGAGTGGGGTGAAGGACAGAGAGATAGGAAAAGAGGAGAGAAAGAGAGGGTAGGAGAGAGTACAGAGAGAAAGACAAAAGACAGACAGAAATAGAGATATAGAACAGGAGAGCTAGTAGAGATAAAAAAAAAAGAGACAGAAAGAAAAGAGTTGTAGTGAGAAAGAAAACAGAGTCAAGGACAAGACAAAGAACAAGAAAAGAGAGAGAAAGAAGAGAGAAAACAGGAGAGACAAAGTTAGGGAGAGAGAAAGAGACAAAGCTACAGAAAGAAAATAGAAACAGTAGAAGGAGAAAGAAAAAAGAGAAAATAAAGACAAAAAATGAGAAAGAGACAGATAGGAGAAAGATATGAAAGAGAAAAAAGGGAAGAGACAGAGTAAAGGAGAGTGTGCAATGGAGAGGGAGAGAGCGAGATGGGGAGCGTAGTGAATGACATAGAGAGGTGAAAGAGGGTAAAAGAAAGAGGAGGGAATAAACAGCGAGAGAACGGAAGAAACAGAGTAGGAGAGAGAGAGGGTGCATGAGAAGGAGTGATGGGGGAAAAGAGAGAAAGGTAGGAAAAGGAGAGAGAGAGAGACAGAGAGAGAAAGAAAGAAAGAAAAGAAGGAAAGAACCGAGACAGCGCGAGGTGGGAGATGTTTCTAGGTGACAAATCTCTGGTCCAGTGAATCTCAAACCTTCTAAATCAGCATCTGGGTTTGGGGGACAGAACCTCCACATGGCTTTTTCTCCAGCAGGCCGTCCCACCAGGGACCACAATCACAGCTCTGGCTGCGGTCAGTGCCTCAGCGCCAGCACGACTGTAAGCTTTCAGTGCAGGACTAGCACACGTTTGGACAGCAAGACAGCCGCAGCTGACCGTAGACAGCAGAACCGTTCTCTGTGGGTGCGGACTTGCAGTGCAGACTCAGGCTGTACAAATGCATGAAGGTGCCAGATTCATTTTGAAATGTTAGAATCAATTATAATCAGTGATAATATTCCTTTAAGTTTGTGCTCACTTTTTGGCCCAAAATGAAATTATCTGTGAGAATCAAATCATGACGACATCTGAGATTTCATGACATGCTGAATCATTTCATAAAGAATCATGGTGAGATTTAGGATTAACTGAATCATTTTGCAAAGAACTGCAACTGAATGAAATCATGCTGAAATTTTAGTTTTTATGATGCACTGAAACATTTTTAAAGAACTGAAATTAAACTTAACTATGTTGAGATTTGTGTTTTCAGGATAAACTGAATCATTTTGGAAAGAATCATAATCAAATGAAATAATTTTGAGATCTGCGTTTTCAGGATACACAGAACTGTTTTGTAAAGAATCAAAATCAATTTGAATCATACTGATATTTATTATCCAGATGCACCAAATCATTTTGCAAAGAACTGAAATCAAACTGAATCATGTGGAGATTTTTTTTCGAATACACTGAAACACCTGGTCAAGAATCAAAGTCAAATGAATCATGTTGAGATTAAGTTTTCCAGAATCGCCGAATCACTTTGCATCTAAAATATGAATCATGTTGAGATATGATCGTATTGTGAAGCATCATAATTGGATTGAATCACGAAGACATTTCACTGCATTTCAATCAAATCGAACTGCCGTAACTGAATCAAACGGTCAAACTTCTGCCCAGGCGGCTTTGTCTGATTCTGGAGCAAGATGGAGTTGGATTGTGATTAAAATGGTGAGTTGGTGATTGTGTTCAGGTGACTGTCTGGCCTCCTGCTGCAGTGTCTGGAAACTCAGACGTCAGGCTCTCCACCCGCCCCCTCCCGCGCACACACGACACACACACGAACGCGGTGAGCCTGCTATCAGAAATACCTGCTGGTTCCTCTGATTTAGTCTGATAAGACGTCCGGCAAGTCTCAAGTTGATGCAAGACAACAATTCCTGACAATCAATAGGAAAAACAAGGCTGTAATCCTGCAAATCCGCACGGCTCCCCACACCAGCTCTCGTCACCGGTCCGTTCTGGAAGTCCTGAGCTGCTCTTAATCTACTTTCGGCACATTTAGCACACACAAATGTTAAGTATGCTCAAACAACGGACACTATCTCTCTCCCTCTCGCTCTCTCTCCCCCCCGGCGTCTTTCTTTAATTTACCGTCTAGTGCCATCGGCCTTTATCGCTTGACATTTAACAATGGAGTCTTCTCACGCCGCCTTCTAAAACAAAGACAGGTGAGACAATGGAGCAGACCCAGCACCTGTGCGGCGCATTTTCATAAACAAACGAACAAACAAAAAGGCCAGTTTTATAGCACAAATACTTGTGATGAAAGTCAATAAAATGCTTCACTAGCAATAAAATGTGGTATTAATGTATAATTTATGAAACTGACAAACATACAAGTCACTCTTTTATTATGTTTGATGTTCCAGAGTCATTTATAATATAACTTGAACTGAAAAAGAGAAAATGGGTGCAAAAAACGCAAACCCTAAATGTCAAATTTGACATTTTTCAGGTGTTCTAGATACAGAGCAGAGGGACATGATAGCCTGGCTTGCAATTAAAGACCTTAAAATAGAGAAGCACCTAGGATGGACAAAAGTGACCCTGCAATAAGTTACTGATGTGCTCTACAGCTCTACATAACTATATAAAACTAAAAATAAGCAACAATGACAAGCTGACTAATACAGATGCCTCCCCTTGTAGAAACTAATGAGAAAGAGTATGACAGCAAGTTTTATCTCTTTTTTTCTTTCATTTATTACAAAAAGCACAGTCCAGTAATAACAGTTATAAACATAAAGCACATAAATAGAAAAAGGGTCAGCTCCTTTGAGATGAAGCATAATACACATTCACATTGACCAGACGGCAGAAAAGATAATCACACAATTGCTTATGAAACTGACTTGCTTTTTCTCCTGCATTTGTTCAACCTCTGCAGAAAGGTCTTTCTGGTGGTGAGCTGTTCATGTCGTCTCTTCACAACCCCTTTCTCTAAGGCATCAGCCTGTAAAACACGCTCTGACATGCACAAATGACAGATATTCCAAATGTGCTGTCAACCGAATCCGTAAATATGAAAGCCAAACGGCGGCAGGGCTTGCCCGGTTTTGGAGCGCACCGGACCCTTTAAAGCACATCAATCCATTTATTAAACATATTCTTTTTTGGCTTGATTCATTTGCGATTGCGGGCGCAACGCGCCGGTCGGCCGCTTCCGGGGAGGCGGGGGGGGGCGCCAATATTTATAGGACTGTTAAGATGAGCGGCGGCTATGAAAAACATGTTGTGTGTGTGGTGGTTGGGGGGGGGGGAGTGCGGCGCTGCCAGGCTTCGCTGAGTGTCAGACGGATCCTAATAAAAGTGTCTGGCCCTGCGGTGGGCACCAGGCTGGCGCTCGCTGTGACGCGGCTGACTGCTTGGTATGCGCGGAGCATGGCAGCGCTTCAGCTGTTGCAGGGGGCTTTGTGGCAAAGACTCAGACTGATTAGTTGGCATCAGCCATTGTTCGGTGTGAGACCAAACAGGGGGAGAAAATATAATTAGAGCCAGAGAGAGAGGCAGCGAGAGAGAGAGGTAGGGTAGAGGGAAAATCAATTGTTTTGAAAACGGCACTTCTAATGTGGGGTAATTTAGCAAAATTAGATTTTAAAAAGTTAAACACTCCAGGGAGGAGGGGTAACAAAATCAGTCATAACACTTAATGAGCTCAAATCTCTGAGAAAAGAGAAGAGCAAACCCTACAGTGCCGCAGAAAAACCCAGCAGAGCCGGTGCAGACGGCAGATCCTTTGTTAAATGTCATTTCGGAGGAAAGCCACCTTCTGACATATTCGCCTTCCAGTCAGTGCAGACGCCTGCGTTGGGTGGCATTAAAAAAGATTAGTCTGCCAATCGGTTCAAAAGTCTTCCTGCTTTGCTATTAGCAGAATGCAAGGCCATGAGTGGAAGGTGTCTGATATAATTATGCAGTATAAA